CCCACCACCCAGATTCTACAATTAACATTTTACTCTTTTTTTTCCTAGTTTTATTGTGCTTTAGGTGAAAGTTTACAACTCAAGTTAATTTCTCATTCAAAAATTTATACACATATTGTTTGTGACGTTGGTTGCAATCCCTGCAATGTTACAGCATGCTCCCTTTTTCCACTCCAGGTTCCCTGTGTCTGTTCATCCAGTTCCTGTCCCGTCCTGCCTTCTTGAGTTGCTTTTGGGCATGTGTTGCCTATTTGGTCTCATATATTTGATTGAACTAAGAAGCACGTTCCTCACGTGTGTCATTGTTTATTTTTAGAGTCCTGTCTACTCTTTGTCTGAAAAGCGCGCTTCGGCAGTGGCTTCAGTTCTGACTTAGCAGGGTGCCCGGGGACCATAGTCTTGGGGGTTTTTCTAGTCTCTGTCAGACCAGTAAGTCTGGTCTTTTTTTGTGAATTAGAACTTTGTTCTACATTTTTCTCCTGCTCTGTCTGGGACTCTCTATTGTGATCCCTGTCAGTGTTTGGTGGTGGTAGCTGGGCACCATCTAGTTCTTCTGGGCTCAGGCTGGTGGAGGCTGTGGTTCATATGGTCCTTTAGTCCTTTGGGCTAATATTTTCCTTGTGTCTTTGGTTTTCTTCATTCTCCTTTGCCCTGAACACAATGGGACCAATAGATACATCTTAGATGAACACTCACAAGCTTTTAAGACCCCAGATGCTACTTACCAAGGTGGGATGGAGAACATTTTCTTTATGATATGTTATGCCAATTGACCTAGATGTCCCCCAAGACTATGGTACCCAGCCCCCTGCCCCAGCAACTCGGTTCCTCAAGATGTTTGGATGTTTCTAGGAAACTTCTATGCTTTTGCTTTGGTCAACTTGTGTTGACTTCCCTTATATTGTGTGTTGTCTTTCCGTTCACCAAAGTTGACACTCGTCTATCTAATTAGTAATTTGCCCTCACCACCCTTGTAACCATCAAAGTGTTTTTTTGCTGTGTGTAAACCTTTCCTTGAGTTCTTATAATAGTGATCTCATACAGTATTTGTCCTTTTGTGACTGACTTATTTCACTCAGCAAAATGCCTTTCAGATTCACCCATGTTGTGAGATGTTTTGTGGATTCATCATCATTCTGTACCATTGAGTAGTATTCCATTGTGTGTATGTACCATAATTTGTTTATCCATTCATCTGTTGATAGGTATTTAGATTGTTTCCATCTTTTTGCTATTGTGTATAATGCTGCAATGAACACGGGTGTGCATGTCTATTCGTATGACAGCTCTCATTTCTCTAGGGTATATTCCTTAGGAGTGGGATTGCTAGATGGTATGGTATTTCTATTTCTAGCTTTTTAAGGAAAAGCCATATCATTTTCCAAAGTTTTTGTACCATTTTACATTTCCAGCAGCAGTGCATAAGAGTTCTAATCTCCCTGAAACCTCTCCAACATTTGTTATTCAGGTACCATTTTAGAGAAAAGGCTTTCCATTTTAAATAGTGGAGGATGAAAACTAAGCACTCATTTCATTGGAATGTATTATCTAATAAAATAACATTATACTACCTGGTTAGGTAGTTTTTTGTCTTTTTTGTTTGTTTGTTTGGGTCAATAGTTTGTAGTACTGCCAGTCTAATTTTCAAAAATTCTGCATACAACTATTTCTTAGTACTTCCTTTATGACTCTTTTTCCTGTTACTTTTAGGTCTTCTGAGAAAAAAAACTCTAAAATTTGACCATTTTTAATTTATTTCAAAGAAAGTATTAGCATTTTAACATCTATTTTAGAGCTAACAACGATGATGATACCTACAGAATTCATTTGATCTTCATAAAAATTCCATGAGATAAGCACTACTATTATCTCTATTTTACTGTGGAGGAAAAAACACTGTTATTATCTACATGTTACTGATGAGGAAACCAGTGCTCGAGGGATGTAATAATTTCCTCAAACTAGAAAGTGGCAGAGCCAGGGCTTAAACCTGGGTCTGTCCGATTCCAAAGCTTGTGCTCAAAATCCCTACATTATAGATAAAGCAGGTGAACAAAATACTTGCCCTATCTGTATGAACAGAAGCATAGTTCCAAACAAAATATTGGGACATGTAGTCTGACCAAAAACTTTCTCTATTTTTAAATTTTATTTACATAGAACTTCTTATAAAAGCATAAACATTAGCTATTTAGCTGAACATTCAACAGCCTTTCTTTTACAGTATAAACAAAAGAAATTAGAAATGTAACAGAAAATAGAAGTATGATCACTATAGGTGAATATGATTAATCTAAGTGATCAAAGTGTGCCCTTAAAAATAATTTTAAGCCAAAAAGCCTTTAATATTTTGTGAATATATCTACTTCTTGTTTCCTGAGAACTTGAGCTATTAAATTGCAGCTCTCAGATTATAAAGGCAGAACACCTCTTTTTAGTTGGATGTGGATCATCATGCTTTACTTCTTAAAAAATTTCTAGGAGGTGGTCTGTGTGTGTGTTTCCTACACAGCAGGAGGATAAATTTATCCTGGAAATGATGTAATGGTTCCCACATGTTTGTTTAAAAAAAAAAAAAAAAGCCTGAATGTGGTGACAGCCAGGTATTTGTCTCTAAAGTGAGAATGCTGTCATTCTACTTGTAGTTTATTGACACAGGACTTCCTTTTGTTTGAAAATGTTCAGCATGGTGAATATGGCTTTAATTAAGAGACACACTGATCCCTTTTGCCATTGTTACAAGGAAGGAACTTCTCCAGCCTTTCTGTGCCTTATTGTGTGGATTGCTTTGTGTGTGGATTACTGTGAAAATGTATAAAGGACTATTGGCAATGTGTTGATTTGTATGTACTGTATTCTTATATCCGTTTCCAATATCCCACTGAGAACCACTGTTTAGAAAGTTCTGCAGGATTATTATGATTTGAAGTACAAAAGTATTTGGAGTCACAATCTATTTAAGATGGAGAAGGTCATACTATGGTAATTGATGGTAAAAATGAATACATTTATCTTTACCTGTGAGGCTAAATCTCTGAATATCCTTTTAAAAATATAGGGAAATGCCCCCTGAATTTAGGGACGCATGCATAAATCCCAGATTCTCTAATTACGTTTGGACATTTATTTGCTCATAGATTTGTGACACATTCTCTGGTATTTTATGATCAGAAGTACAGATCATTGTCCAAAATCAGAAGCATGATATGCAAAGGGGAAACTTTACATAGTTGAGTCTGTCTTCAAGTGATATCTGATAAAACCTAAACTACAGTGGTGTTGTGGGGCAAAATAAAACAAACAACCACTCTGCTTCAAAACCTTAACGACTCTACTCCACAACCACTGAATCATGTAATTCTTCATTCTACATTCACCTTCTGTGCCTCTCTTTTTCTTATCTGGATAAAAAGGATGAATAAAAGAACCCCAAACATAGCTTCTGTTTTTAAAGAATAAGATAGAGGAAGAATAAACTATAAAGTGTGCCCTCTACTGACTTGGAGATTAATGGGAACGCAAAAGAAAAAAAAAAAAAAAAAAGAGATCTGAAAAGATGTGTGGTGAGAATATTTCTTTGAACACAGGATCTGCCAAATTGTGAAAATTCTCTCTTTCTCTCCTATCTA